ACCTTATGTTGAGAGTGTTTTTCACTGCTGTTTACAAGGTCAAGAGTGAACTCTGAAACTCTTTAAACTTTTAAACCAATATTGACAAGAAATCCTAAAAGTGTTCCAAAAAATACAAATTTGAATAACCTTCATCTCCTGAGGAAGATTGTGTAATACGATCCAGCTGGTAAACTGACCTGGTCATAAGATTGTTTTGTATGTTACATACACAATAGACAAACTAGTTATTTTGTTTTGTGTAATTGTTGTTTTATATTTTCAAATACTTACTAGGTCTCTTCTGAAAACCTGTTGAACTGTCAGTGACAAATGATGTTAGTTGTGTAAAGTGTAATGTACCTTTTTATTATAAGCAGAGACAATTGGTCCTTAACAAAGTGTAACAATTCTAATAAATACAATTTAACAGTGTGAATGTAAACTGCTTGTATTTCCTGTAGTGTTATTATCTATAGAGAGTTCAGCTCTGCCTCTCTAATTATTGGCAATTGCCTCATTTGAACATGTTTTGTATCCCCAGTTTGACTCAAAAGATATGAGATGAAGTCCGGTCCGAGTTTTGCATTTGCTATGGATATAAGCATACATTTGAATGTGTGTTTGAGTATTGCTTTGTATGTGAGGCAGATGGGAAAGCCTATTCACAGGGGAAGAGTTGTGGTTTTAGTGCACAAATGTGCTTTATTCACGACAATAACATGGTTTGTTTTTATGCCGACGATCACACTTAAAATGAAATGACTCATAAAAAAACTGTTGTTTTCACCCAGCTTACGCCAACCATAACTAATGCAATCTGGCTTTTATGGTTTCAGTGTTTGTTAAAACTGTTTTAGAGAGTTGTTGATTCAGTGTTATCATCATTTGGAGGCTATTGTGGTGATAATAAAATTGAAAAAAGGTGCAGGATCACTTTAGAATAATGCAGTGTATAAGTGTTTGCGGTGAGCACACCTCCCTGCAGGTTGGGCATGAAAGCTACACAATGAGTTGCTGTTAGTAGTTTGTCCTTCCTTATTGATTTAAATACGATAGCCAAAATATTTTATATAATAGTTTAGCAGCATCACAAACTACAGGCTGTAAAAAAAATTGCATAAAGTAGAATAAACACCTCTCTAAAAACAGTTTCAGCCTCATAAATAAATTGTCAATTGAATATAATCCAATTATTCTTAATACAAGAAAATGTCCTAAATAATAATAAACAAATCTGAAATTAATCTGAGCGCTTTCACATGTGACCAGTGATGGTTCATTCATTCATATCTCCTCCATATATTTTCAGCCATGAGGCAGCTGAAGCTCTCTGGCTGTGGCAGCAGTGCCATCTCCTGCTGAGCTAAGCACAGAGCATATTAGCAGCCTGTCATGCTGCTGCTGAGAGGATTACACTTCATATTTACTGTACATGACCGTGGTGACCCGGGACAGATATAGTTTTTATACTGAACATGAGAATTAAAGATGACACCTGCGTGCCACAAATGATTCCCCACTGTATATTTAATCCTGGAGCTCAGTGTATTATTATTATTAAAACAGCCTTATTATTGTGTTTATTTGAGACTGTGTGTGTTTGAGGCTAGTGATGACAGACACAAGAGAAAGTCTGCCACACACATGCAATAATAAATAAATACCACGACTGTCACTGTACAGGAAAACCACGATAAATATGAAACTTCCCTGCGCAAGATGCTCAGTTTCTATCTGAACGCAGGAGCGCACAGGCGGCCGCAGCATCCGCACAAGAAAATCACCAGCGTTTCAATTAGAAACCAGAAAATGGGTTAAAAATCAGTTTTCAGCTCAGTGTTTAGACGCTGAACATTTCCTCGCCTGCAGCACCCAGAAGTGAACAGCAGGCGACCCGGAAGGTTTGAAGTCTGACTGAGACCGAGCAGAAAAGAAGAGTCCCAATCCCTTTTATAAAATATTTCTCCTCTCTCGCCGGTTCAGGTATGTTGGCCGCTCGATGCAAATTATCTGCCTGTTTTTTTTTTTTTTTTT